GGGCCATATGTAGAAATAAATGACTAGAAGGGGGGGGGCTATTAAATTTTTTCAAGAAAATGATGGGGGGGGGGTGCAATTAAATTTGAAGGAATTTGCTTAAATTAATAACCTGGTATCCATTTCGTTGTAAATGTTGCAACTAAATCATGGTCACTGATATGAAATAGTCTGGATTTTTCTTGTCTTGTGTGTGCTGTATGCAAATCAGTCTTTACGGGTTGCAGACTAGTTAAATTGACAATGCATTATTTATATTACATCAGCTCTTGATGTGGTTAAATACATTATGCAGGCCACATCCGCTGAGGGGAGTCTGTGATGTCATATCAATTAAAGGGGGTTGTTTGATGCCTTGTGATCAGCGCTTCGGTCTGGGTATTCATTCTGCCATTGTTTGCTTTGCCTAGCTGCAGCAAGTTTAGCGCTTCGATACCTTTCCCCCACCCACCCATGTTCATTCTAAAGGATTTTATCTGGTAGTATATGTCATTTTATTTTATATAATTTTTAGTCTCACATAAAATAGGATGTATAGACCACTATACATTGTATTTCGTAAGTATGCCTTGGCAAAATTGTCATGCTATCTCCTTTTGCTGCTAATATTACTGATTGTTACTCTCATTGTTGCTGCGCACCTGCTATGGCAATACTTCGTACCATCAAGTCTAGTTGCAGCCATAAACATGGTTACAATCGCCCAGACCAAATGGAAACCTGATTTTAGTGTTCTATATAAAAATACTCCTCTTTTAATTATAATTTTCTGCTAATATTATAATATATATTTTTGGTCGACGTTAATATCTTGCCAGTTCCATATTCTTATTTAATAATTAACACTATAAAACCTGGGTATCCCCATTTGATGAGTAAAAATGAAAAGGGGGGGATGAAAGAAAAATATTCTAATATGCAGCGGGGGGGGGTCATCGTTAAATTTCTGCTCTTTTAGGGGGGGCTTTCAATTTTAAAAATTTAGAAAAGAAAAAATTCCCCTCCCCCCCTTCCATAAATAATGACCGGTCCCTAAATGTTACCGACAAACGAGTAAGGAGCAAAAGTTTCCGAGTTTTTTGCCGAAATGTTTTTGTCCAGATGCGGGATACTTCTAACGGGTATGACGCCATTGAAAATGCAATCCTATTGGTTAAAAAAATAAACAAACTTTCTCGTAGTTTTT